AAAAAAACCCAAACGCCGTCTATTTTTGTTCCAGGTTGAACTTCTTCAGAGACGTCGCCGACTTCAGGGTGCTGACCTGCGGAGGCGACGGCACCGTAGGCTGGATCCTGGACTTCATCGGTACGCAACATATTTCACAATATCGCAGCACTAACGAGCATTTCGGCCCTGCGCTCCCTCCATAGCATCACTTGTTTCTCCTCCCGAACCTCCTGCGGTGCTGCAGCACACGCGACGTGCACATACCGCCTCCAGTTTGTGTGCAAACATGGCAGAACTTCGGCTCTCCATTTCCCTTTTTGGGCAAAAATTGCATTTGTTTTTATTAGTTTTCAAAGCCTGCAGCAGCAGCACTCTTGTTGTTCAGACTGAAATGGTAAAGCGTAATTTATAGGTTGTATATAAACACTTTCATTATGTCCCAGCCTGCGTATTCAGGGGTGGTAAAATGGCGTGATTACAGGAGTTGGAAAACAACATATTAGTCATCATTTGAAGAAGAAGAAAAAAAAAGAGAAAATAAATAAATAAATAAAAATCACCTGGCCGCCTCTATTTGGTCTTGAAGATGTGTTACTGGTTCGGGGCTTTCAAAAATTGCCTCAATTTTTTATCAATCAAAACAAAGAGAGGTAATAACTGTCAGGCAAAATGCGTCTCTTGAAATAGACTGTACAACTGGACATTGGCTTGTAGTTTCGAAATGGGTTTGGTGCTTTTCCTTTTTTGACGTTTGACGTTTTTCTTTTCTCGGTTTGTTTCGCATCTCGTCGTGCTGTTCGTCCCGCTGCTCCAGATAAGGCCAACCTGGACAGGAACCCCCCCGTGTGCATACTTCCTCTTGGCACGGGCAACGACCTGGCAAGGTGTCTGCGATGGGGAGGAGGTACCGACAGAAGACAGATACACAACACAGCCAACGACACCACTTCACTTCCCTTCGCTGTAGACGGAGAACGCCGCTGCTGTCGTTATTGTCACGCAGAGAGAGGATTAGCAGGACGCTAGCAGAGCTGAAACTAATATTTTATTTGCTGATTGATCTTAAAAGATGCGCAATTTACTCAAGCGCTGTACTCGAGTACATTTTCAGGCGCTTGAGTATTTTGTGCTGCTTGTCAGAGGGACGTGTTGGACTTTGTGCTCCTAACAATAACTGTAACAGTGCAAAGAATCAAAGTTAAATTTAAATAAGAACCATAGGAGAACTATAAGAGAACCAAAAAGAACCATAGAACATGAATACTGAGCATCAGTCCTGATCATAGTTTAAAATATTCATGATTTTTTAAAGATTTTAACCCTTTAAATGCCGGTTTGTTAATATGAAAATTAATATATTCTCCATACAATTAGTAGAAAGTGGATCCTTCAGGACAAAACTGCCATGAAAATATATGAAGACTTAATTTGTAAAAACAGATAATTCTATCTTCACTAACCTTCAGAGAACCAACTTCTCCATCGTCTACCTGAGACAACATCAGTCAAACTTAAGTGCTCTCTATTGTTGTTATTTCTACTGAGTCAAATCCGCTCAACTTCAGTTTGATTGATATCATCTCAAGCAAACAACAAAACAAAAAGTTTTCTGGAAATCTACAAATAGGGAGTAATCTGTTTTTGCAAATGAACTCTTCATATATTCATATTATTTTCCGTTTTTACTGAGTTCGATTGTTTTTTAAATCAATAACTAATCTGATAACGACCAAATATTTATAATTTTCTATATTTTATCTCTTTAAGTGAGCATGAACTCAGACAAGGTACATAAGAATAAAAGTAAACACAAACATCTGAAGGACTCAGTGGTTTGCTCTCGTGTCACCACGAGTCGCCGAGCATCAGCCGAGTGGCACAAGCCGTCCCAGACCCGGTTTTAACGTCCCACTTGTCTCGTCTCCTTCCTCCTGAGGCTACGAGGGCGAGAGCCTCCTGAAGATCCTGCGGGACATCGAGAACAGCACGGAGGTGATGCTGGATCGCTGGAAGATCGATGTCACGCCCACAGACAAGGAGGAGCGCGGCGACCCAGTGCCTTACAGCATCATCAACAACTACTTCTCCATCGGAGTGGTGAGTCGGACGGTTCTGTTCCTGACTCGGTGGTTTGAGTTCTTTTAAATGAACAAATACACACATGATGCTGTTTGTGAGTTTAGTGGACTTTAAATTAGCCAAAAATAAAATATATTCTCTGGAAAACACTCAGATCTTAGAACAAAAGGGACTAAATGGTTTAAACACAGATCTGTTTTTCCCCAAGAGGAAGATAGATTAGCGCAAACAAGACAGAAGACTCCTTTTCAATCCTGAGAACCATAATAAGAGTTTATTATGCGGCGCTCCACATTAGCTGCAAAGAAAACACAATCACCGCATTTACAGTAAATCCATGTTTAAGTAAATAATCTCTGTAGTTGATTTCGTGTCTAACTCTGTCTGCACACAAGCGATTGGCAGCTGATTGCACGTTGCCTAGCAATCGCATGACGCCTCTCGCTACCGAAACACCTCGGCGTGATCGGGACCGCGGCGAGTCTCACAGTTTAAGTGTCAGATGTGAGCGACTCCCAGAGAAATAACACAATCTGACTCTTTAGCATCTGTGTGTTCTCGGTGGTTTCTGTATGATGTCTTCACACGTTTTTCATAAAGTAAACAAGAAGAATCCAGATGCACGAAACGAGATCGATGACAAGGAGGAAGAGAGACGACAAGAAGTTGACGAGGAGTCGAATTATTGCTGATAGTAAAGTGTTCAAATCAATTAAACCTACAGCTAAAGCCAGTAAAATAAGGACAGTGGTTTCATTTTTTAATAGAATTTTATTTCCTGTATGTTAATATCTTTGGTTTTGGACTAAAATTACGTCAAACCCTCTGAATGATGTGGGACCAAGATGTCACAGTTCCCACATCGCAGTGACGTCTTTTCTTAGTTGTTTTTGGACGTCCAGTGTTGGTCACACTCAGGTGCAGACTGTAGAAGACGTCTTTTTCCGACGTCTACCCAACGTCTAGCATTGACGTCCACAGGACCTCTATGTAAAGGCTAAATGTGGTCCAAACGTGGTCGTTATGGACGTCTTTATAAGCAGTATAGATACCATTTCTAAAATGAGATTAAATTTGACGTGGAAAAGACGTCCATTACATCTGGACTACATTTAGCCTTTACATAGAGGTCCCGTGGATGTCAACACTGGACGTTCGGTAGACGTTGGAAAAAGACGTCTTCTACAGTCTGCACCTGCCTGTGACCAACACTGGACGTCCAAAAGCGACTAAGAAAAGACGTCACTGCGACTCGTCAGTGGGTCACATCAATTTCCTGTCTCAGACGTCCACATGACATCCAAAAAGTTCCCTCGCCCGGCGGCCAAATGTTGAACTGTATGTTGACGTCCAAGTGGGGTCGAGGTTAGACGTCCAAATAGTAGACGTCCATAATTGGTCTTGGACCGACGGACGCAGCATGGACATGATCTACACGTCCATCAGACGTCTAATGTTTTGTGGGTTATTTACTTGCTTCTGTAATTAATTTCACCTGCAAATGCTGGTATAAATCTCTAACATATGGAATAGCTACATGAATGTAAGGCCAAAATAAACAACCCTGGGCTCTGTGGCAGCTGGTTGGATCTTAATACTGGTTTCCCTTTTGGGTGGGAAGAGTTTAAACAGGCTGGTATCAGATTTGTAACAATGAACCATGAGCCAGGTCCAACAGGAACGACACCACAGAACGCCACATGTGTCCGTAAACAGCTGAACCCAGAACAAAAGCAAAAAACCTACAGAGCTGTGGACCGACAAAATCAAACTGTTCTTCCCCATAATGCTTAAGTCTGTTGTTAAATAAAAAAAACTACACAACAGAACACCTGCAGCAAGCGCCTGATCAGTCAATTCATTAGCCGTGATCACGCCGCGGTTAGGCCTTTATTGAGATGTGCTCAAGCCTCCGTCGCGTCTGATTGATAAACAAGCGTCGCGGCGCATCTGCATGGCGCTACGCACCCATCGGCGCCTCCCCTGTACATCTCCAGCGTAATGACACTGATTTCACGTAGCTCATGTTAGCCATTACCGATAAATGTCAGGGGGAAATACGGTAATTGACATTTGCAGGTGGCAGAGGAGGGGAGCCGTTCGGGATTGTGAGATTTGAACGGGCTGCGTCGGGGACGTAAGTGATGCATGGCCTTACAAATGTTAGTTGAATAACACCTCCAGCCCGGGCCCCTAATGACGACGTCTGAGGATATTAGAGGACGGCTCTTGTTAACATTGTGATAGAGGAGAACAACGGCTGTAATCTGTCTGCTGAGCTGAACATATGGGGATGTGTGCAGGCCGGGGGAAGCGGTGACAGGACATCTCTGAACATCCATCCCAGTGTTTCACAGCATAAATGTCAAAACACGCGAGTTCGCTTCTCTTCGGACGGCACGTTAAAAGCAGCAAATGAGGAGAGGGGTTTTGTAGCTGGATGCTCAGGAGCATAGCGTTACATCAGAGGCTATAATATCCCCCCAATGTCAGAAATAGACCCGAGTCCAATCTTCTCAGCAGGTGTCGCTCCGTTTTTTCAGGGAACAAGACGTTTTCCTCACTTTAATCTTGTAAAATGACGTATTTTACCGTAATTACTCCTTTATTCTTTCCCAAATTTAACCAAATAATCACTGAAAACCACACGTTAATCACAATATAGAGCAAAACTAGGTGAAAAATGACACTGTTTAGGCGCTTTTTATCCTGGAAAACTCCTATAATGTTGACTTTCTGATGTGTGGGAATAAAGTGTTGGCCCCGTGTGTTTATTATAAGCCCGACTTTAGAGGCGCTGTGTTCAGGGTGTGGTTTCATGATTTTCCAAACTTTAGCATCATTAATGTCACTGGCAAAGATCAACACGAGCTGATGTGTAGAAGGAGGTTCACAGTGTTACTTCATCTTAAAGAGCCCATATATATTCTGCTCTTTGAGTTTCCCTCTTTCCTTTATTGTGTGACAGCTTTTCGTGCATGTATGAGGTCTGCAAACGTACAAAATCCCAGATTCTCTCCCTCAGAAGCTTTACCTGTCTGAGATGCTGGATTTGAAGCCCAGGTTTTCTTTGTCATGGTGTCACACATTTGCATAGCGGCTAGTTTGGTCCTCAGGTAAACGATGAGCAGCTTCCTCACTGGAGTCGCTTCTCAGGTCAGGAGGTACCCGGTCAGTCACTTCTGTCAGGACAGGTGAGCGTTCAGAGCTCTTCAGGAGGGCATCTTTAAAAAAAGAGAGGCAAATACGTTCTAATATTTGATCGCAATCAAGATAAACAGATGTAAAAGTATCAGGTTTTAATTTTCATAATGAAAACCTGCAGCGAGGGTGCCAAAGAAAATAAAAAAAAAAACATTTAAAAAAAACGGTTCTAGTTGTCGAGTTATTTGGGTTTTGAGCTTCAATTTACTGCCTAAACTCGACTCAGCATTGAAGGACGCTGGTCAACTCCACTCATTTTCCATCTTTATTTATTCTTTTCAAAAAGGAACCAGGTCGAGTGTTTGTTAGTTGATCACCTTAAAAATAAAAAAACACGGGTCCCCCTATAGCTGACCTGGTAGAGCGGGCGGCCCATGAACAGGGGCTGCAGTCCCCCGATGCAGCGGTCGTGAGTTCGAATCCCGCTCACGACCCTTTGCTGCAGGTCTGTCCCCATTCTTCTCCCCCCTTTCCTGTCTCCCTCTACTGCACTAAATAAAGTCAAAAAAATACATTTAAAAAAAATAAATAAATAAAAAAAACAAAAACCATATGAATCAATGAATCCATCAACAATAACTTAAATGTTCCATTTTAATCATTTCAAATCAAAATGTTTGGCAAACACTTTGTATTATTCATTAAATAAACCAAATCCAGAGCCAACATGTCAACACAAAATAAATTAAATGACAATTTTACCTGCTCAGGACCCACTGATGAAGCCTTCCTCTACCTCCAGGCCTGAGCTGCCACACCTATCAGCTCTTGCTATTAGTAGATTAACTAAATAAATAAATATACACACAGCACAATAACTTAACAACAGTATGTACCTCAAATACAATATACAGCTGGTTTTAGTCATTCTCTTATTGTATGTAATAAAAATGAAGGTAAAAATATAGAAAAACGTCTCTTTGTCATCAGTGACTACCTTTAAATTACAGCAACGTAACAGAACCTGACAGAGTTTCACCTGAAGAATAATAATAAGCCTAATTATAGGATTAAAAGTAGAACAAAATAAATCTATAATTTAACAGAAAAGGACATAAAGGTACAATAAAATACCTAAAACCTGAGAACAAATGTCAGAACCAGAAGCTTTTTTAAGCTACGTGAGCTCAGACACACAAGGAGGTTGTCGTGGTGAATGAGATGGTACACAACAAGAACAAGAAAAGAACAAATATAGAAATCTAGATCAGAGAAATTATAAATAAAATATGTAAAAGAAAAGTCTGAAAGGTACTACATAAATAAAAAGTACTATGAACTAAGAAATAAATTAGGAAACAGCTTAAATTACAATAAGATATTTCACCTGATGTCGAGGAACTGGAGGAAACAAAAATCTGTAATTAATGTAGGAAATCATTCACAGTCGTGACCTTTTGTTTTATGGTTAACGAGACTTTTTCTGAATGATTTCACTGAAACAAAACAGGACGATGTAAAAATAATTGTTTGTATATTAACTGTTTAAACTCACTTTCTTCTTTTTTTTTGCTGCATTGTTGGAACACATTTCCATATTTATAAAAACACACAAAGGATTGAATAAAAACGACTGCAGAGTTTTGTAGAAGGAGACGGAGGACAGGTGGAGCTCTGAGCGGACGTGTGGAGGACAAACATGACCTGAAGTTGCTCCCACATTAGAAATAAGTTTATTTGCTTAGGAGGCTAAACTTTGCACTAATATTTGTGGGATCTTTTAACGCTTTCCCTCATCTTTCAGTCTGAAACTCTTCAGCACCAGAAGGAGTTTAATGGGACCAGTTGATTTCTTGTTGCTGCACCAAACTTTA